TGGGCTCTTACTCTGAAGAGCGTGCGGACGGAGGGTGTGTTTCGCACGTACATCTGCGCGCGCGAGGGTGGGGAATGGGGCATCAAGACTGACGAGTGCATCAAGTTGTTGGCGAACATATTCTACTTTAAGTATGAAGCTTCCTTTACTCGTGGTGGGCAGGAACCCGGCTGGATTTTCCGCACGGACAACGGCGATGTCGCACATTACGTCGACGTCATTCGGATGCTTATCCTCAGGCGTGGTTCAAAGAAGGCTACATCAACGTGCCCTTGTTCGAGTCCGTGCACCAGCAGAGCGAGCGAGGCCATCAAGTGCTTGGGTACTGGCGAGATGGCTGTTTAGAGGTGGCACCAGTACGAGACTTCAACGGCAAGGGATGGGGGATCGACCCGAAAGCGGGGGGTACCAGCCCGGAGCACATGACAGCGGAAAATCGCGTGGTATGGCTGTCTGAGTATTCTTACGTTGGCACCGACAACAAGACGCAAATGGAGAATTGTGGTTGCAAACCGGTCCCGGGTAAGAAGAGTCTCTGCGTGAGGTGCGGCTGTCGAAAAGCAGGAAGGAAATGCTAGCTGGCATTGGTGCGCAGGGCCACCTATGGACTGATTCGCGCGGCGGAACCTGAGGCTCGGATCGCTGCTGTTACATCCAGCGGTCCTGCTGCGCCCACTGTTCCTGCTACACCCTCCATTCCTACAACATCTGTAATCGTAGCCGAAGCCCTGCGTTCTCTTTTGGCGGTACGAGCCGGTAGTCAACGCAGCCGCACAGGCAGTCGCTAAGCAGCAGGCAGCCCCGCCGGGTGATTCAACAGGGACCGAAGGACAAGGACGGGGAGTAGGAGGAGGAGGAGGAGGAGGAGGAGGAGGAAAACGAAGGGGGGGGGGTTGTACTCATAGTCGTGCATGCCGTCGTTAGACCATTGACCTCGCATCCCTACAAAACCAGGACGGAGCACGCCGGGTTCTCACCGGACCAGGCTCTCACATCACCAAGCGCG